CCATGATGGATTGATCACAGCTGACAGCAATACTGTGATCAATAGCAATCCTTCCCCCCAACCCCCTCCTGACATGCTGCCCCTGAGCGTCTATCACCTCCCCAGTATTAGGTTTTGTCCTGACTTAAACAGTACCAGATGTGAACACCCTCCTGTGCAGTCTCCAATCCAGTCAAAAAGCTGCTGGCCTTAGCCATTATAATCATGACACTACTGTACAAGCAGGTATAGCTTACCTGGCATTTCAGTACCGTGACTCACAGGATCCATAGCTGATTGGGACTATTCCAGACCACTCTCCACAGCGGCCCACGGAGCACTCTCATGGAGCACCATGAAAGCCAGCCCGACCCTAGCTTTATTTTCCCGTGTCCTGTAACCAAAGAACGTGACATCTTCATCCATAGGGTCTTTCTGTCAGTTTCTGGGATGGAACCAACAATAGCAAACAGACCCTTCATGTTTTGTGGGGCCTCAGGGGCCTCCCTGGCCAAGCATAGAAGTAACCCACTTCTGGTAGTAGGGATTTCTATCTAAAAGCTTTATAACCACTGGAGTCCCTGTTCTGCCTCAGGCAGGGAAACCTTCTCAACTTAAGCTCTTTAGTTGTCTTTATATTATTACTTAGCTAATTGTGTGTTTGAACATTTGTGTGTGGTATGCATAGGTGGGTGCAGGTGCCAGGGAAAACCAGGGGAGTCCCCTAGAGCTGGAATTACAGGTGACTGTGAACTGGAGGGGGTGGGGCTCTGAGAACTGAACTCTGGTCTTCCAAGAGAGCTGTGAGCATTCTTTTCTGATCAGCCCTGTCTCTCCCTTGCTGATGTTTTAATAACCCATTCCCCCCACCCCCGGTTAATCCAGTACTAGTATGATTATAAGCTAGGTGGAAGAACCATTGCACTCGGCTGCCTTCAGCCCAGTTCTGCACATCAGGGCTTATGAAATGACTATCCAAGTCACTGTCAATTTTCTGTGGGTCCTTTTACTTAACACTCAGTTGGGTGAGACCCTTGATGGTGGCTTTACCTATTGCTCATTTGCATAGAGATATTTGTAATAGGTGAGGACATATTTGCATCCCTCACTGATAGGCATAGCCCCCGTAGAGTTTGTTTGCCAGTCTCTTATGAGGCCAGTCTCGTATAGGGCAAGTTGAGTTATATGTGTGTTACTTTCTGTTGTCCCTGTGGGAGAAATGGGGCACATGACTATTTAGCCCATCTTACAAGGATCTTAGCTGGCTCAAACATCTCCACACTTTTTGTCCTGATTCCACACAGAACCCAACTTTATCAAGTGAGACGGAGGACAGACAACTTGGGTAAGGAGGGAGATGGAACTCCATCTGCATCCCAGGGGTCCAAATATACCTGAAGCTCCTTTAGAGGTACGGGCTGTCTTACCTTGGCCGGGTATTATATGTGTCTTACCATATTAGCATGCTCTTGAAAACTTTACAACTGTGCCTAGGCTTTGAACCTTGTGTGGATATTCCCCATTCTCATTCCTTTAGGTGAACTTGTATATCTTTTAGATGTTCCCCCATCCAAAAAAAAAGAAAGGAAGAAAAAAAGAAAGAAAGAAAGAAAGAAAGAAAGAAAGAAAGAAAGAAAGAAAGAAAGGCCTATTTTATTGTCTTAAAAACAAACATTCAAGCATGTGCTCCTTTAGCAACAGGGAACCAAGCTGAGAATGAGACCAACAGAGAGGAGGGGACACAGCATCAACACACCTAACTCTGAAGGCAAAGTGTAAATTACTCTCTGAGCATTAGATTTTGTTTTATCTGTAAAACACTTGGAGGTTAACACTATATGTCATCCATGTAATGAACCCATTTTACAGAGGTCAGGCAGAATAGCAAGGTCCTGGGCCATCATTCCATGAAAAGCTGCGAGAATGTGAAAGTCACCTTAGGATAGCACTCTAAAGGTTCATTCCAAGGGAATATGAACTGGTCTTGAGATCCAGTAGCTAAGGGAATAAGAAAAAGTACATTATCAAGGTCTAATACAGTAGGCAAACAGTCAGCACATTGTGTATTCTCTATCTGTCTTCCTCATCCTGGGACATCTCCAAGGAGACTCAATGCATTTCCTCACTCCAGTGGGCTTTGTTGGATTGGCTCAAGCCCTTTGGTTTAGCTCTGGCCTTCCTGACTGTACCCAATCCAGGGTCTGATAGACTATTGGCCTGAATTGCAGGTGGAGTCACTCAGCCACATTGAAAAAGGCAGACCTGCCTACTGTGGTTCTCTACTGTCAGTGGGACAGCTTAATGTTTCTGTGCACCATGTAAAGGTTATCCTTGTGTTATTCAAATGCTGGTTTCTCTGCCCTCATATGTTGTTTCAATCTGGACACAGCATTGTAGTGCTTATGTCTAGAATCTCCTGTCTCAAGTTTGTGTAAGCAATTCTTACCATTTATTCTTTGCCTTGTCAATAATGGCTGGGTAAAAGAAATAATAGAGTGAAACTTTCACCAGTGAGGGGAGAGGGAGGGAGGGAGGGGGGAG